AATCAATAGTTTAAAAGAAATCTTGGGTTCTCCTGATTTAAACTTTGGATTGAATATGGAAGTTATATATTGCAGAAATAAACCAACTGATGGAGATCGTCAAGCAATAATAGGCCTATTCAGTAAACACCAGAAGCTCAATTTTATGTAAGCCAAGGATCCTTAATTTCCAGTTATGGTTTGCCTTGAATGCTGCAGAACTGCCAATAAATTAAGTTGCAACAGAAATAACCATTCTGAAAAAATATAACCTTAGGCCAGGAAGTGACAGAATTGACATTTCTTGGTTGCGGGATGTCAAAGACGATGACTTTCTGCAAAATAATAAATGTTGCCTGTCATTTCTACAGCACTTTAACTCAGAAACGTACCGGGGGGGTGGGGGTGGGTGGGGGGGAGATGTGGAATCCATGAAATGGCTGTACTGGGAGCTCTGAGTTTGAAGGAGAAGGTTGCCTGCAAAGGAGCTGAATTTGAATCATATGAAAAATCTGAGGTCTGCAATTCTATTTCATAACAACAGCCTGGACAAAGGCCACCCCATATTGCCCACCATTCAATAATAAATAAAATCAGGCTTGGTTTGGATTTCTCTCCCTGTCTGAACAGCTGAGATTAATCAGTTATAGAAAGGGAAAGGACCTCACCCTCTTTTCTGATCTCCGCTGGAAGATTGCCAATGTTTAGATCCTCAATATCCAGCTGCCAAAGATTAACCAGTTGTCCAAGGTCAGTAGGAAGCTCTTGAATACCTGGGTTACTATGTAGAAAAGGACACACCCTCATCAACCAATCCAAGGGTGACACTGAAGTGCAAGTTGGCCACAAGTCTAGCCTTCAAATGAATATTTGGAGGTATAACATGAAACTGTTAGCTTAGGCGAAACCATTGTGGAATTTCAAGGGGAAAGAAAAATTTAAGGGAATAGCAGAGTGGGAAGAGACCTTGGAGGTCTTCTAATCCAACCCCCTCCTCAAGCAGGAAACCCTATACCACCATTTCATACTAATGGTTCTCCAATCTCTTCCCAAAATCCTCCAGTGATGAAACACCTACAACTTCTGAAGGCAAGTTGTTCCACTGATTAATTGTTCTAACTGTCAGGAAATTTTTCCTTGGTTCCAGGTTGGTTCTGTTTTTGATAAGCTGCCTTTTCTGCCTTCAGGTACTTTGGAGAATAGCTTGACTCCCTTTTCTTTGTGGCAGCCCCCTCTCTCTATCTCTTTCTCTTTCTTTCCCTCTCTCTCTTCTCCCACCCATTCCTTACAAGTGTGGGAACCAAGGATGACTAAAGAAAAAAAACCAAATCAATAGTTTAAAAGAAATCTTGNGATAGATAGATAGATAGATAGATAGGAAAATATTGATGCAGACTTTTGAGAAGTGATCCTACCAATTCTATTTCCCAGATATTTCTTCTTCATAATTGTGCCTGATTGCAGACAACTTAACAGAGCCATTGAGAACTCAGCCTATAGCTAATTCTATGATAGGTTTGGTTCATGCCAGAAAATGGCTAATATGTTGTCATAATTATGATTAGATTTAATGCTATCAGACATCACAAGCAAAAAAACCCATCCCTTTAGAATATTGGATTCTGAATCTCAAAAGTCCCAAGACTCCTTGGTATTTTGCCCACAGTTTTAGGGTGCCCTGTCCTTCTGTAGAATCAGAGATGTCCCACCTGTGCCATGCAAGATGCAAGTGCGTTAATATTACATTCATGATAAGGCACTTCTGGCACATAATTTAAAAGGTACATTTTCCAAGGATGCCAAGTAAAGCTTTGAAGGGATTGGACTTTGGGCCCTACTAAAGAATATAACTTTTAACTTTCTTTGATCCATAACAATCATAAGCTACTCATAAGATTATGATCATAAGATCATAAAATCATAAGATATTCACAGCTGATGCTTTACATTCCATCCTCAATCAGAACAGATTATAGAAAAGAGAGCTGGGTGAGTTGCAACTACGGAGCAAGAGATAAATCTATAATTATATATTTTATAATGGTACTTATAATTGCTGCAAAGAAGATTGGAAGCTACTTCTCTTGTATCGTTTTCCCCCACCTTCTTTTCCATTTAGATTGTCTCTTTCGTTCATCTTAGCTCTGCCTATGAGCTCTTTTGTTCCTTCTCATTTTCTCCCTTTGCATTCGTTTCCACCCCCTTTTTATCTTCTTAAAATCTTTAACCAAGTTAGATAAAACAATACATTCCATTGTAAACCGAGGAAGCGCATTTGCCAAGACGTGTTGTGGTTTCATCGCCCCCTGAAGTCCTTTCATCCACATACCTGAAGATCCATCTCTGCAAGGCTGATCAGCATCCGGGCTATGAACCGTTGCCAAAACCCAACAGGGACGAAGCTCATCTTGAATACTCTTTGGATGGTGTTTGTTGTCTGGTGCCGTAAGCCGTGAACATCAAAGGCTGGCTTGGCAGGAAGCAGGTGGGGTAGGAGATAACTGAAACCCAGTTAAACATTCCGATTATACAAGAGGAAGTTTTGGAAAACGGAGCTTCATTACCCTCTGCTGGATGAAACATCTACTAATATATATCCCATTACTGTGATGCATCCTTCATTTAGGCTCTAACATCCTCTTTCCTATTCCCCACCACCACCACCCAAAATCTAGATTCTTCCCAACCATTTTTAGGGTGTTTTACACAGCGTGGTGGTTCAGTGACTAAGATGCTGAGCTTGTCGATCAGAAAGANAAATGCAAGTAGAAAAATAGGAACCACCTTTGGGGGGAAGGTAACGGCGCTCCGTGCACCTTCAGCATTTAGTCATGCCGGCCACATGACCACGGAGACATCTTCGGAAAGCACTGGCTCTTAGGCTTTGAAACGGAGACAAGCACTTCCCCCTAGAGTCGGGAATGACTAGGATGTATGTGTGAGAGGAACCTTTACCTTGTAACTGCCACCATTTGCTTATCACTCAATGGCATAGTAATTCCAATTTTTTCAAATAAGCCACCAGGCCTGCATTCAGACATCATGTATAGGACATAACATTATGCTTCGTAGTGAGGTAGATACCGGTATGGCATTAAGAGGATTTCTTTTTAAAAAAAGGTTCTACTGCACATCCTATCTGTTATTCTGCCTGTATCATGAAAGAAAATGATTTGATTCCTGAACAACAAAACAGCTTGAACTTTGACTCTGAAGAATTATGGGACCTGAAAATTTAATATATCTGGAGGGTAATAGAGAAGGAAGCTTAAGCTAGATGTTCACGAATGTGTTTCTGGAGTCACATTAGTAACAGACAAGACATGGAGTCCTACAGGGCTGAAGGCTGATGTTTAAGTCATAGTTGATGTAAAGATGTCAACCCTGAAGGATTTTAAGGTGAAGCTGTTCGAAATGAACAATGGCATTTGACAGACTTGTCTAAGCCTCTCTGTACATCCACTGGGCCATAGACGTTCTACGGGCCAGCCTACATGTTGTGGTCCACTGGCAGACTGTGGAGCTGGCCGCAGAGTCATACAGTGAGGACTTTGCTCAAACTTTGCTCCTACCTCAATACTGAGTAACCAGAACTGAAGATTTGCCACAGCTTCTTCTCCCAGGGCCAAGTTCCAGATGACAATGTACAATGCCTTATCTGTGAAGAAGCACTGGTTGACTGTTGACATGGTGGAGGGGCCGCCGATATCCCAGACGTTCAACTCAACGGCGTCAACCTAATTGGACAAAGAGCTACATTGAAGGGACCGAATAGCAGTTAATTTAAACGAGAGAGAGAGAGAGAGAGAGAGAGAGAGAATGGTGAATGCATAATGAACTTGCACCCTCCAATACCTCCGTAATGTACGGCACCTAGGCGTCAATGGGTATGAATGTTCCAACTGAAGAAAGAGTGCTTGTTATGGGGATTGTAATGACCCCTTCCCACACAGGAAATGTAACTCGGTTGCTTACTTCTAAGGCAGCCACACATTCTCCGAGTTAAGATTTAGAGTGGAAGCCAGCATCCGACAGAGAAGAGCCATCGCGACCCTATTCTACATCCACCCATCCAGTCAATCTGCTGCTAAATATACAAAGCATTCAATGCCCCAGAATAAAGGCTCTAATTTGAATTCCACTGAAAACTCCAGGTGTGAAAGTCTTCATAGGGAAAGCAAAGGGTTAGGATTAGGGTGAGCTCTAAGTGCTCTCTGAGAGAGGAGAACTGAAGAAGCTTCTTGGATGAGAAGCGAAATGTCTTCAAAGAAAAACCAGAAAGTCCAGTTGCCTCTTGAAAAAAGCACCCTTGGGACAACCAAGACCTGGAGGACTGAGAATCTCCATAGACGTTTTTCTCTTTTCTCTTTACCTTGGATTTGAATCCAGCGGGTCTCTGGAGCTCCCATCTTGTGGTCCGGATGGTGGCATTGTCAGGCATTGAAAGAGAAGGTTTCCCTGTCTGCAGGATCTCAACCAAGGTGGATTTTCCCTGTCGGGGAGGACCTACCACCACCATTTTCATCACATTACATCTCTCTGCTTTGCGTAGCTGGGCGCGTAAATAAGCTAAAATGGTCTTGGGTCCTGCAGGTAGAAGGGATGGAGAAATCATTGGCATATGGTAAAAGTAAGGGCTCCTCCTTACCTTTGTCCAGTCATGTCCAACTCTAGGGGACAGTGCTCATCTCCCTTTCTTAGTCAAGCTAGCCAACATTGTCTGAAGACATTTCTGTGGTCATGTGGCATGCCGAGGTGCACCGAATGCTGTTACCTTCCCACCAATGTGGTACCTACTTATCTACTCGCATTTGCCTACTTTCGAACTGATGGGTTGGCAGAAAAAAATACTTTGTGGAAGATGAGCAACCTCCAGTCATCTTGGACTAATTTTCAAAGCCCTCTATAAGCAAACAACTGGGGCCCTGAATAAGAGATATCTGGGGAGTTCTTTCCCTCTCTCTCTCTCACCAAGAACTCCTCATTTAACCAAGATAGTCTCCTTTATTGGAAGCACATATTTCCCATTTTCTTTCCAAATTGATCTCTCTCTCTCCCCCTCTGTCCTTCTCTCTCTGTCCCTCCCTTTCCACCCCTCTCTTTCTCTCTCCCTCTCCCTCCCATCCTCTCCCTGTCTCTTTCCCTCTCTCTCTGAGCTACAAATATTCTCCTTTATTGGAAGCACATATTTCCCCCGTTTTTCCCGATTGTTCTCTCTTCCTCCCTCCCTCTCTCTCCCCCTCTTTCTCTCCCTCTCCCTCACTTCCTCTCCCTTTCTCCCCTCCTTCTCTCTCTCCCTCTCTCTCCAGCCCTCCCTCTCTCCCCCTCTCTCTTTCTCTCTCTCCCCCTCCCTTCCTCTTACTCTCTCCCTCCCTCTCCTCCTCCCTCCCTCTTTCTTTCCCTCTCCCTCTTCTCTCCCCCTCTCTCTTTCTCTCTCTTTCTCTCCCTCTCTCTCCCCTCCCCCCTCTCTATCTCTTTCTCTTTCTTTCCCTCTCTCTCCCTCTCTCTCTTCTCCCACCCATTCCTTACAAGTGTGGGAACCTAGGATGACTAAAGAAAAAAAAAACGAATCAATAGTTTAAAAGAAATCTTGGGTTCTCCTGATTTAAACTTTGGATTGAATATGGAAGTTATATATTGCAGAAATAAACCAACTGATGGAGATCGTCAAGCAATANGTCAACCCTGAGCCGGTGAGATTTGAACCGCTGAACTGCTGATCTAGCAGTAGCCTGCAGTGCTGCATTTAACCACTGCGCCACCTTGGCTCGAAAAATTACATTACACATTATACTGAATAATTAGCAGAATCATGGTATGAATTGTGCCCAATGGTCTCGAATAATGCATGTTCGGCTCCATATGAGAATGGAGACAAGGGAAAAGTCAGCGACAGTCTGAGAAAAACCCTTAAACTCAAGCTCTCTAGCACAGAGTGCATTTCTCTCTGTTAGAAGATTCCAAAATATGTTTCTTGGCTGAGAAAAGAGACAATTGTTGTTCTACAGGGACACAAAGCGCTTGTTCAACAAGCCAGACACTAATTGCCAAAGATCAAATCCTAAACAGCTAATCATAGTAACAGTGTCAATAAAGAGCAGACTTTATTGAATGAAAAGGCTCTGAAAAGAGTGGGAAAGGAAGACACAACAATGTTCTTCCTTGATGTGATTGGTTTGGCAAGAAAAGAGGAGGAGGAGGAGGAGGAGGAGGAGGATAAAAAGAGGAGGAGGAAGTGGAGGAGGAAAGAACAAATGTGAAGAAGAAAAATGTGCTTAATTTTTACAAATCCCCAAACTAAACAGCTTCTGGTATTTAGAGCAGCTTCTGACTCATAATTCAGAGAAACTCATGATGGCAGCAACGAAGAATCCATTTCCTTAAGACAAGTCCAACACAAATCTCTTTAAATTCCTTCCGGGAGAATGTAAAAACTTGACACCCTATCTTCTTGGCAGAAAGACCTGCTAACGTGTCAACTTCATACGCAAAGTTTATTTTGATTCTTTTAAGGCACACCCTACAGCCAGATGTAATAAATTGGGTGGAAGGGAAGGGAAATAGACCTTTGCAATAGGATATTGCAAAATCTCCATTCCCACCCCACTCTGGGACCAGCCCCAGGTGGCATTTGCCGGTTCTCTAAACTACTCAAAATTTCCGCTACTGGATCTCCAGAACCTGTCAGAACCCGCTGAATTTCATCCCTGCTCCCTGTTCTGCTTCTGGAGAATTTTAATCGCTTGCAACCATCTTGCCTCCTTCCTTGATCCCAATGGGAATTCAATGCTCAGAAAAGGTCCCTTTGTTTCCCACTGTCAGGGAAACTGTTCTGTAGACAATTGCTTGAAAAGAATAAGCCATGAATACATGATTTATCAGACTGCATCTAGATTCTAGGATGGTCAACAAAGAAGAGCTGCAATAAATTTCGGCTATGCAAATGTCTTGAAGAAAAAAAAATTCCTTGCATTCTTCTTTTAGTTTTCATTCCATTAGATGAAATAGATTTGGGGTGGAGGGGAGGGAGAATTTTAATGGATGGAATTTGTGTACAGATAAGATGGCCAAGGAGAACATGGGATGTTTTGTGTTTCATATAGAAATATCCTTTCAACCTTTCTGGCTTCCTAACCTTTCGTTAAATTCCAGAGGAAAAATAACTCAGCCATGGAGGGGTTTTTCCCCAGCTGCAGGGCTATCATCACCCCTAAGGCTGAATCCTTGTTTGCAGAAATAGTTGGAGCATCACTCCTTTCTCTGGAAAGAATTTGGAAAACGATTCCATCAGTGGTGGGTTTCAAAATTTTTTAGAACCTCTTCTGTAGGTCTGTGGCCTGCTTTGTGGGAGTGGCTGGCCAGCCA